CTAAGAGGGAGACTAGATGCCCCCCATCCCCACTCCAAGACAGACGCTGAAGTCCTGACTCGAGGGTCAGGTGCAGGACCCAGCTCTGTTCTTTCTTTGACCATGGGTCAGATTCCAAGACTGCTGCAGGCTTGCTGCCCACCTAGAACATTGTCATCCCCCCTCTCCCCTCCCCCCTCACTTTCCGGACAGACTGAATCACTGCTGCAGGCCCCTCGACTGGGAAAGGCCAGGAGACCGGATTCAGAGCTTCTGGAAGGCCCCAGGGTCGCCCGCTCCAGCCCCTCCCAGGCCGGAGGCCGCTGCCGTGAGCATTTATGGTAATGTTTGGGTTGGGGCCGGCGGCGGCCGGATGCCCCGCCTCCCCCAGGCCTCCACGGGCCAGACTTTGGGGAGCACAGGCTCCTGGGACGCCAAGAGGAGCTTAGCACTGGCGCCTTCTTCACCCTGGCTGCTGGTCCTGGTAGGGGAGGGCAGGCTGAGGCCATGGTTTTTGGAGGGCTGAGGTCAGGCAGGTGGGTTGCCTCACATGGAGCAGCACTGTGAGCTGGAGGGGACAAGAGGGACAATTCCAGGTCTGAGAGCTAAGCTGGTCTGGGGACTAGGATGGGAGGGGTGTGACACCCCCTTCAGTGTGTCTCAGTCACCCACTGCTGTCCCTGCCCTCTGGTTTAAGGGTCCTGAGTCCCCAGGAAGCGTAAGCATTCACATCCTTTCTCTCCTTCTCTCCCCCCACTCACTGGCAGGGAAGGGGCTGAGAGGAGAGGCCAGCAGCTCCCCGGGGAGTCACTGGAATGTTGGGAGCCTGGGAACGGGCCCTGCAGTCCCTGGGAAAGCCAGGCTATGGGAATCCCACCGTCAGCCCCCTCCCCAGGATGGGCCTTCGGATGGATGCCAGAGACGCCAGCTCACCAACCAGGGGCTTTGTGAGGGTAGAAAATTCCCCAATCCAAGACCTACCCTAGCTAGACCCCAGAGTTCAGTTGGCCAGCTGTGAAGAAGACACCCCCTCCCCCGCCCTCTGCCTCCCCTGCTCAATCCAACATAATCCTCCATTGTGCCACTCTCCCCCTTCCCCACTCCCCTTCTCCGGACCCCTGCACAATGAGGCCATTGCAGCCTCTAGCACTGAGGGTGGAGATGAATTCATGGTTTTTCCAAGTTTAAAAATAGCCCCTCCCATCTCCCCAGAAAATCACCCTCCTCCTCTTCCATGGTGTTTCTGGGGTATGCCTCAAACCAGGCCTGCACCTCCTTACTCCTGCCCTGGGTCAGGTGCAAAGGACATGGGTGAGACTGCATCCGGCCGGGAAAGGGGCTGCTTCCCCCCATTCAATCTCTTCCCCAACATCTTCCACCCAGCCCCCCAGTATCCGGTTTCCTGGCCTGATGATGTCCACATTATCAACTGCCCCCCCACCTTGTTTTCCCCTCCCTTAGCACAATCTCCTCCCATCTCAGACCCCAATTGTGGAAATACTCCAGCCTCCCCTCCAAAGACCCAGGCTGGATCCCATTTTCTGTTCAAGCCAGGGGGTTCCCCAGCCTCTATCACTGTCAGGATTGCTGGACTCCCCCTTCCACCCCCATCTCCTTCTCATCACAGCTGCAAACATGTCTTTATCAGCTTCCTTCCTCCGCCCAGCCCACCCTTCTCACATCCTTCTGGTTGCTGCCCCTGGGCCAAAAGAGTGGGTGGGAGTTCATTGTGCTCACTGTGATAGAGCTGGGAGGAGAGTCCTAGGTTCAAATCTTACTCCAATGAGGCCCCCATGGGGGGCAAGCCCATTCATCATTTTACTTCCAACTCCACTGGAGCTGGGACCACTCCTCTCAACTTTTTACAATGAACACATAGCCCACCCTCCCAGGAGACTATAGTTGAGGGATCCAGACCGCAACCTTCACCCCACCCAATTTCAGTTCTCCACCTGTGGTGAGACCTATACCAGAGAGACACACACAAAGCATTCATTCCATCACAGAGCGCTCTCATCCCTGAGGAGCCTACATTTAACATGGGGTGGAGGAGAGTAAGGAGCTCTGGTAGCCTAGTGCCTAAGGCATTTGAGTGCTAACCAGAAGGCTGGCAGTTCAAATCCACCAGCCACTCCTTGGAAGGAAGGTTGGGCAATCTACTCTCGTAGAGATACCATCTCGGAAACCCAAGGAGGGGTCCCAACCAAGGAGGGGTCGCAATGAGTCGGATCCGATTAGACAGCACTGTTTTCTTTTGTTGTTGTTTGTTTGGAGGAGAGTGGTGTTCCTATCCCTCCCTCCAGGAGAGAAACAAATGAGGCAAAGAATTAGGGCTCTGTCCCCAGGGCCTCTTCCTCTCGTCTTGGCCTACCTCAGGAAAAGGCTGCTTCCATCCCAGTCCCAAGTGCAGGAGTCCCTCCTGGTTTGGAAGGCCCATCACTGCCTCTCCGATCTCCTGCTGTATCTTAATCCTCTCTTGCCACCTTCTCTCTTTCCTGCTGCTGCTGAAGCCTTACTCTGGTATCTTAGAGAAGCAGCAGACTTGATGCCCTCCACCTTCCCTTCCTCTACCCAGTGCTCTTGCTTTCACTCCACATTCTCCCAGTTTTCATTCCACTCCGAATCCTCTCCAAGGTCCTGACCTCTTTTTGGTTTGGAAGCCCAAAGTACCCCCCCCCCCCATTAAACCACCCCAAAGTGGTCTGTCCTTTGACCTCCACCACCCACTCTCTGAAGCCAGACAGCTCCAGGCTACTGCCTTCCTTAAAGGACAGTCTTTGTGCTTGTTTGGTGGGGCCGTGGAGGGAAGAGGATGCCACCCTGGGCTCTAACCTCAATTCCCCTGGCACTGCAGAGGCAACTCCTCCACCCCCACTGGCTTTACTAGACTGAGGCCAGAAGAATTCGGAGCTGACTGTCCTTGGTGGTTGGCTGGCTTTGTTCTCAGGCAGGAGAGAGGCCGAATGATTAGTTAATGGTGTTAAGTGAAGGGAAGGGGGTGGGGCAGGGAAGCAGCGTTCCATGCCCTGCTCTGAGCCTGCCAGGGCAAACCGCATCCTTCAGCCATTCCTTCTTCCATCCCTGTGGACAAATGAAAGCGCCTCCATTCCGCTCTGGGCCCTGGGCCAGTCCATATACCACCATGAGGGGTGAGGCCCCAGGGTCCTTCTCTTGTTCTCTTCTTCAGGCTCCAGGCCCTTGGCCTGGTCTGGGCTTGGTATGGCACTGCCTCCCGCTGGCTGGAGACGAATGGAGAGGGCCGAGGGGGTCAGCAAGGTTCTGAAAGCCGAGGTTCATGTGGTTTGCTAGTCATCTCTGCGTCATCAAACGCCACCTCTGAGCGGTTGTCTCAAGTCACCTGCCCATCTCTGGCATCTGCTGCCTCACGATGCTCCTCCCCCAGCCACCAGAAAGGCTGTCAGGCCTCCAAACCAAACGCAGGCCTAGCTTCCTACTTGACCTTCCCTGGTCCAGGGGTCCTAGCAGGTGTGATGGACTCCTTTCTCAGGCCAAAGTGCTGGATATCCCACCAGACAAAAGCCCACTCCCTGCCCTGAAGCTCCAGGGAGAAGAAGCAGGGGTTTGGGAAGAAAGGTGGCTGCAGGGCTCACCACTCAGTCAAGGATGAAATCAGATCTAGTTCCTCTTGAGCCCTCCCTTCCAGCTGGAGCCATGATCAATATCTGGTAGGGAAGGAGGGAGGGACTGGGGAGCAGTGCTGCAGGGATCCCTCCACCCACTGGGGGCTGCAACAGGTTTCTGGCAGCATCAAGCCCTGGATCCTGTACCCATTAACTCTTTCTTCTCCCTCATTTCTTCATCAAGGTGAGAAGAAAATGAGTAGTAGGCTAGACTCAATGAGTTAAGAGTGAAAAAAACAGAACTCTCAAAAGCTGGGCTTGGACAAGTTCTCTGGGTGGTGCAAAGGGTTTGAACACAACTTGGTGTAGTGCCTAAGGCATCTGACTGCTAACCAGAATGCTGGCGGTTCAAACCCACCAGCCACTCCTCAGAAGGAAGGTTGGGCAATCTACTCCCCTAGTGATACTGCCTCGAAACCCAAGGAGGGGTCGCTATGAGTCGGATCCGATTGGACGGCAGTGAATTTGTTGAGTTGACTAACTTAAAAGTTGGCAGTTGGAACTCACCCTGTGGCTCTGCAGAAGAAAGGCCTGGTGATTGGTTTCCATAAAGATACAGCCAAGAAAACCCTATGGAGCTGTTTAACACATGTGGTTGCCATGAATCAATACATTCAAGGGCAGTGGGTCTGGCATTTTTGGGGGAAGGAGGAGTTGGACAAGTGAATTCTACCCGTTCCCCCTTCCTCTAGTCAAAGAGGGACTTGCAGGATCTGGGATGTGAAGGGACATTAAAGCGTCACCTCCACACCCCAATACAAGTACCTCTGGATCTATGGGACTTGAGCTAGGCTCTCTACCAAAGCTGCTAGGACTGTGAGGCTTAGGGGCAGTGCCAGGTTGGCCGCCTTTGCACCGGTGCAATAATTCTGGGACGCCTCTTACATCCGGCCTATTTCTCCGTGGCAGGGGTACAGTAGAGTGGAGGAGGAGGCGGGGCGAGGAACCTGGACGGGAGGCCCCCATTGGGGACGTTCAGGACGTGTGCGCTGGTTCTCCAACAGGAGATTCCCCAAGGCTACAATGGCTGATAGAGGTTGAGGGCTGGCGGTGAGCGCTTGTCCTAACCGGGGGCGACTCTGGGCAACAGGGCCCTCTTCTCTCCACTGCCGCCTGGGCCAGGCAGTCGGACCCCAGACACCTGTCATGCCCCTCTCTCTTTCCGGGTTCGGGATCTAGGGAGGCCCACCCGCCTTCCTCTCCAAGGCGCCGCTAAGCTCCGGGGCTCACGGTGCAGGGGCCCGCCCCCTAGGGCTGCGGCTAGCCGGGCGGGGGCGGGGGGCGCGCGGCGCTAGGGGCGGGGCGCCGGCCCCCTCCCCCGCCCCCCTGACGTCAGCCCCCGGCTGCTGCGGGCTCCCGCACTAGGCGCCTGTCCTCCGGCCGGAAAGCATGGGGTTGCCCAAGCTCTTCTGCGCCTTTTTGCTCGCTGCCTGCTGCTGCTGTCGCCGCGCCGTGGGTGAGTTAGCTGGGGGCCCTCACTCCTCAGGGCCCGGGTTAGGGGCCTTCGGTGGAGTGTGCTGGGAGCAGAGCTTGCCACGCGGTTGGGGCCGGGATTTGGGGTCCCCGCGTGCACTCTTCTCCCCTGGTCCCCGGTACCCGGCGCCTTGAGCGCGTGCAACTCTTTGTAGCCAGTTTGCAGCCTCTGTTCTTGAGTATCCCGGGAGCATGATCCAGGCGGTGGCTCCAGTTGGGAGCGGGAAGGGTGGAGCTGAGCCTCAGGGGGCATTGGGGAGAGCTTTTCCTTCAGGTGTTTACTCCGAGGGAGCCCGCGGTAGATCCGGGGCAGGGGCGTAGCTAGAGCGCACCCCCGAATCCTGTATTCTGCGCCCGCCTGTTGCTTGGAAAAAGCAGCTTTCTTACCTGGAGGGGATGCACCGATCCCACTCCTCCCGCCTGGGCACCGGGCCAGGCTGGAGGTGAACAAGAGAGGTGGGACGTGGCTCTCGCCGGAGCTGGGCGTTGGCAGGGCTTGAGGCGGGGTAGGGGTGTGGGTCGCCTCGCGCCTACCTGGGTAAGGGGTTCGCAGGTGGCAGAGGAGCGATGGAGCATTCCCAGAGTGGGAGCGCCCCTAGACTTATCTTGTTATACCTGCCGGTATGGAGATCACATTCAGGTGGCAAGAGCACCCTTGCACCTCCAAGTTTTTCTGTAGAACTTCCTAGTAGCTGGGCGCTCCCAGGTCCGTGCTGCCCTTGTATGGCCCGCAGCATTGTCGCGTGTTTCTTTTGGCTCTCTTTCCCGGGTGCCAGCCGTTATGCCGCTAGGGAAGGGGAGAACTGGACAATACCCAGTTTGCTGGCCTCATGCCCAGTCCCGACGCCGTCCCTGGGGTACCCCCGGCTGTTGCTTCCCAAGCTGGCTTTATTTCTGGGAAAAGGGCTAAATTGGGCTCCACAGCTGCATTAGTTCCAGCCCTATGCAGCCCTGATCTGGAGAAACTGAGTCAGGGCTTGGAGGCTTCTACTCTGGGTTGAAGACCACTCCATATGCCCTCCTTGTCTGGGAGCCAGACCAGGGCAACAACCCAGGCATCCCAGTGTCCAGCCAGATGGTACCGAGTGACATCACCGCTTCTCAGGGCTGGCAGCACGCTGGCACCACTGATGTCACTCATACCCACTGCCTGGACTTTGCCTTGACCCCTGGGGAAGAGTCTGACTCCTTCTCCTTCCCAAGACTCTTGCAACCATGGGATCCCCTGAGCATATGTGGAAATGTTCAGTGAGGGAATATGAGATGGGAGCTTCTGTAAAGCGGAGCCCGTTGGGTCCTGTAAGAAATTTGGGGAGGGGATTCTTGGGGGCATAGGGCAGAATAGTGACGTCTTCCCCTGGGGGTGGGGACACAAAGAGGCCTGTGTGTCCCAGCCTGGCACATGCTTTGCATTCCCACACTCTGAGCTCACTTGGAGAGGAGGGGACCTGGAAGGAAAGGGGCCTTCCTCTTGGCTCAGAGCCTGGGTTGCCCCTTCTGCCAGCCTCATCGGGGAGGTGCCTGGTGCTCTGGGTCTCTGCTCTAAGGACTAGGGATCAAGCTCCCTTGAACTAGGAAAGGGTGGGCCAGGGTTTGGGCAGAGGCAGAGAGTGGCTGAGGCTGGGCCCTCTTCAGACCCTCACAGTGTCAGGAAGAACAGCTGCCGTGAGTAGCCATATGGGGAGGGGAGGGAATAGAAGGCAGCTGGAGCTGACACAATTGCTGGGGGTGTTTCTCCTCCTCACCCCCAGGTATACCGGGAGAGGCTGAGCAGCCTGTGCCAGAGCTGCTGGAGGTGGAAGTAGGCAGCACTGCCCTCCTGAAGTGTGGCTCCTCCCATTCCCAGGGCAACCTCAGCCTTGACTGGTTTTCTGTGAGTGCTGGGCCCAGAGGGCAGCAGGGGTGAGACGTTTTACCCCTCCTGTAGCCCCAGGGCCCTCACCTCCTCTTGATCCCTCCCATTAGGTCTATAAGGAGAAGCCAACGCTGATCTACCGTGTGCGCCAGGGCCAGGGTCAGAGTGAACCTGGGGAGTACCAGCACCGGCTCAGTCTCCAGGGCAGGGGGGCTACCCTGGCCCTGGCACATGTCACCCCTCATGATGAACGCATCTTCTTGTGCCAGGGCAAGCGCCCACGGTCCCAGGAGCACCGCATTCAGCTTCAAGTCTACAGTGAGTGCCCCAACCCCTGGCCTGGGGCAGTGTGGATCCTGGGAAGTGGCCAGTCCCATGCCTCCCCTTTCCTTCCCTTGTAGAAGCTCCAGAGGAACCAAGCATCCAGGTCAATACCTTGGGCATCTCTGTGAACAGTGAGGAGCCTGAGGAGGTGAGAGATGCTGGGGTGGCCAGGTGGTAAGCAGGAGGTAAGGTGGGGCATGGTAGGGTCTCAGAGGTAGGGACATTGACAGCCTGTCTTCCCTTAGGTTGCTACCTGTGTGGGAAGGAATGGGTACCCAGTTCCTCAAGTCACCTGGTATAAGAACCGTTCGCCCCTGAAGGAAGATAAGAACCGTGAGCACCCCTCTTGCCCCTGAAAACCATGCCTGTGGATACCACCCAGGAATCACCTGGCATTTTAGTTTAGCTTCTTAACTTTTTGTTTATAATCTCACAAGTCATGCTTGAAAATATTTTCAAAGAATTTACTACACAAAAACTACAAAAAAAAATTAGAATGAAAGATTTCTCCCTCCTCATTCCTATTCCTTCCCAGAAGAAATCTCTGCTGTCGGTGTGTATTCTCTCAAGCCCATTTATGTTTACTCACATGTATATCTAAGGAGCTCTGGTGGCACAGTGTCTAAGACATTTGATTGCCAAGCAGAAGGTGGCAGTTCAAACCCATCAGCCACTCCGCAGAAGGAAGATGGGGCAATCTACTTCTGTAAAGATCTACTGCCTCAGAAACCCAAAAGGGGTCGCTATGAGTCATAATCAACTTGATGGCAGTGGTTTGTTTTTTTGTATAAATATATCTAAAGATAGTCTTGTATTTTAGAAATCAGTGGTTCTCAACTGAGATGATTTTACCTCCCAGGCAACATTTGGCAGTATCTGGTGAGACATTTTTGGTTGTGACAAATCTACAGGAAGTGCCCCCACCCCTGCCCTTGGGGCAGTGTGGATCCTAGGAAGTGGTAGGCCCTGTGCCTGTCCTTTTCCTCCCTTGTGAAAGCACTGGCATTTAGTGGGTAGAAGCCTGGGATGCAGCTGAGTATCCCACAATACTCATACATTTGCCACAACAAAGAATTACCGGCCCAAGATAGCCATAGTGCTGAGCTTGAAGTACCCAGATGTAAATGGTATTGTGTTTGCTGTTACACAATTTTTTTTTCCAACAGTGAGTCCTGGGAATGTTTCCAGGCCAGTCTATTTACATCTGCTTGATTGTTTAGCCTAGTGCCTAGTATTCCATACTATGTATATAATGGGGTTTAATTAACCATTTCCCTAAGAGTAAACATCTAGAGTGTTCCTCATCTTTTTTCTTGCCACAGGAGCATTATTTGCACTCACTCTTGTACATATCCTTGTACTCATCTGATGTCTAAATGTTTTATTGAGAGCCGAAACTGCTGGGTTGAAGGATCTGCACTTATATTTACACCTGACCCTCTACCAGGGACAGGGGTCCCTTTAGGTGTCCCCTGCCAATCCCTGGGGAGGTCTGTGGGGTTGGGTTGGCAGCAGGCTGAGGTGGAGCCCTTCTCCCCTGCCAGGTGTCCACATCCAGTCGTCCCAGACTGTGGAGTCGAGTGGTTTGTATACCTTGCAGAGCATCCTGAAGGTACAGCTGGTAAAGGAAGACAAAGATGCCCAGTTTTATTGTGAGCTAAGCTACCGGCTACCCAGCGGGAACCACATGAAGGAATCTAGGGATGTCACTGTCCCTGTTTTCTGTGAGTAATGACCCATCCGTCTGTGCTTATCAGGAATGGGCCTAGTAGAAACTCCCTCTAGCTCCTCCCCACTCAGCCCAGGGATCAGCTCTTGGGCTGAGAGCCACCCCTTTGCTGTTGCAGACCCAGCAGAAAAAGTGTGGGTAGAAGTGGTACCCACGGGAACGCTGAAGGAAGGGGATCGTGTGGAAATCAGGTGTTTGGCAGATGGGAACCCTCCACCCCACTTCAGCATCAGCAAGCAGGTGCGGGGTCCCCATGCTGGGTGCATAAAGGGTTGCAGTGGGGGTAGGTGAGGAGAGCTCTGCTCATTCCTCTGTCCTTCCCAGAACCTCAGCACCATGGAGATGGAGGAAATGACAACTGACCACAATGGGCTCTTGGTCTTGGAGCCTGCCCAGAAGGAGCACAGCGGGCTCTATGAATGTCAGGGCCTGGACTTGGACACCATGGTATCACTGAGTGACCAACAGGAGCTGCTGGTGAACTGTGAGGGGCTGGGGGCCCAGGGCAAGGGGATCAGGCTGGTGGCTGAGGCTGGGGCCATAGGGAACTCATCATGTCCTGCTGTGGTTGACACTATGGCTGTGTCCCCAGATGTGTCAGATGTCCGGGTGAGTCCCGCCACCCCCAAGAGCCAAGAGGGCAGCAACCTAACATTGACCTGTGAAGCAGAGAGTAACCAGGCCCTTGAATATCACTGGCTGAGAGAAAAGGTACCAGGTGGGCCTGGGGTTATGGGGCAGGGGCTAACTAGTGGGGCAGGTTGGGATGGGAGGTGGCAACAGGTTGCTCCTTTCAGATCCTCTGACCCATCTCTCCCTGCAGACAGGCAAGGTGCTGGGAAAGAGACCTGTTCTACAATTACGAAACCTGAAACGGGAGGCAGGGGGAGGCTACCTCTGCATGGCATCTGTGCCCAGTATACCCGGCCTGAACCGCACACAGCTGGTCAATGTGGCCATTTATGGTGAGGCTCTCTGGGCAGAGACCAGGTGGTCCCTGGAAGGCACCCCACGTTGAGGCATGGCGGGGCAGATTGCCTATTGCCCCAGTCTCTGTAGTCGGCTTGGTCCCCCTGTTCTGGGGGCATTAACTGGTGGCCTGCAGGATGCTGCCTCTTACTCTTCCCCTCCGTCCCCACCAGGGTCCCCATGGATGGCATTCAAAGAGAGGAAGCTGTGGGTGAAAGAGAATGAGGTGACAAGTTTGTCTTGTGAAGCATCAGGACATCCTCGGCCCACCATCTCCTGGAATGTCAATGGCACGGTGAGTAGGCACATGTGCTCACACTGACTAATCCCTGCTTACCTTCTGTGCCAGCCAGAGATCCTCCCTGCCCTGAGCTGCGCTTCCTTTCTTTGTAGGTTCATGAACGAGACAAAGATCCACAGAGTGTCCTGAGCACCCTGAGTGTCCTTGTGACCCCAGAGCTGTTGGAGACAGGAGCCAAGTGTGTGGCCTCCAATTCTCTGGGCAGTAACACCACCCTCATTTTCTTGGAGCTGGGTAAGGACCTCTGCCCTGCACAGTCTGGCAGGGGCATGCTCAGGCGTGGGCATTAACTTGTGCTTATCCTAACCCACCTCCCTCTGCCTCCCAGTCAATTTAACTACCCTCATACCTGACTCCAACACCACCACTGGCCTCAGCACCTCCACTCACCTCAGCACCTCCACTGTCAGTCCCCATGCCAGAGCCAACAGCACCTCCACAGGTAAGCCGGGCCTGGCAAGAGGACAGGGCTGGGCCAGGGCAGCCTCCTTCTGCCCTGCCCCTCCCCAGGGAGCCCTGTGGAGAAGGGTGAGTGGTGCTCTGTCTTCCATCAGCCCTGGGCTGGGTGGGGTGGTGGTGGAAATACGGCAGCCTTGGGCTGTGAATGACCGGGAGTCTTTGTGGACAGAGAAAAAGCTGCCAGAACCTGAAAGCAAGGGTGTGGTCATCGTGGCTGTGATCGTGTGTATCCTGGTGCTGGCTGTGCTGGGCGCCGTCCTCTATTTCTTCTACAAAAAGGGCAAGCTGCCTTGTGGACGGTCAGGCAAACAAGAGATGTAAGCACGGTACTTAGCATGCTCACTCCCTACCCATCTCATGCTGCCCAGCTTGCGGCCTGCCCCAGTGGCCCACTCAACCCTCAGGAGGAGTTGGGCCCTTAGTCTAGGTGCTGCCTGCTCTTCTGCCCACTACCTAGCTACCATCAACCACACCTTCTCCCTTCCATGACCTGGTTCCCTCTGAGCTGGCCCCGGAACATCAAAGAACCCATAGTTCAGTCCAACAACCTTCCCAAGGGCCCCTCCCCTTTCCTTGCCCCTGAGTTGCCAACCTTTCGCCTCCCTCCCTCCTCCCAGCACACTGCCCCCGTCGCGTAAGAGTGAAATTGTAGTTGAAGTTAAGTCAGATAAGCTCCCCGAAGAGATGGGCCTCCTACAGGGCAGCAACGGTGACAAGAGGGCTCCCGGAGACCAGGTAGGAGGCAGTTCCTGTGGCCAGTGCCTGACACATCCTCAGGGACTGGGGGTACCAAGGGCTAATAGTTCCTGTTCCCCCAACACTAACTTTCTATCCTTGCTCCTTGTTTGGAGATAGGAAGCAGCCCTATCTTGCTTCATTACTACTCACAGGTGACGGGGGAAGCAGGTGTCTGAGGGACCCTGGAGAGAGGGTGGTTTCTCAAGGCTGAGCAAAGACCCTATCCCATCACCTTCACCTTTTCCTGAGCAGTATGTGTGGTCCAGGTTACTAGGTGTGGAGTGTGGCCACAATACCAGTGGAGAGTCAGATATGGGGGCTTGGTTTCTGCTTCTGTGTCCTACCATATCCACTCCCATTCCTCACTTCTTCCCTCAAGGCTGCTGTACCTAGTTCATCAGCTTTTGCTTCAGTCTGTTTTATCAGTGCTCACACCTTAAACTCTGGTCCCTATCTCCAGGTTCCCCTCTTACTTCTCCTCTCCACCCATTTTTAGGGCGAGAAATACATCGATCTGAGGCATTAGCTCACTTCCTGACATCGAGCTCCCCACCCTGCTGGAACAGCTCCTGCTCCCTGTTCACCTTGTTCCCTGGCACTCAGGATGTCAGCCAAGGCCTCTCAAAAGGACTACACACAGGACCCCTGCTCCCACTCACCTCCAGATTTGACCCATCTCAGAGGTCAAACAGAGTAGGACTGAAGCCATCCTGAGGAGGTCACTGGGCCTTGAGGCCCCCTCTCTGGGATCAAGCCACCAATCTCAATTTGAGTGAAGTTTGTCCCAAGGAGGGGGCCTCAGGATACAGGAATGGGAAGGAGTTCCTCAGGATGTGTTTTCTTGTTACACGTTACAGATGTAAATTCCTGTCTTGTACCAGCAGCTGAATTACGTAGCTTATCTATCTGAGTTGGTTTCCCGCTCCACCTGGCTTCAGTAATTCAGCTGAAACGCTGAAGAGGCTATACTTGTCCCTGAGACCTAGAGCCCAGGCCCCATTCACTGCTGACCTATGTTGCTCACGTGACTCAGGCGTTTCCCAGCATCATCTAGAAGCAGCTGAAGTGATGCTGCCACCTGCCTGCCTGCTTTCAGGGGGTCCCTTTTATTGATCCTCGTTTTCTTGGGCCGAAGCCTTGAAGTGGTGTCATCCCTTAAAAGATATGCTGGCCATGAACTGGTGTCATTCCTTACAAGGCATTCTGGGTACAGCTCATTGTCCTTGCATTGTTTTCCAGAGTTAAGGTGATTGAGCCCAAGCCCCCTGCATTTATTTGGCTCCCACTGCCCTCAAGGGATTGTGGCAGTCTCCGAAAGGTGGGAAGTAGGGGACAAAGAGGTCCAGACTGTTTTGCAGAGATTAAAACTACAGTTATATTAGCACCAAATTTCCACCAACTGAACTAACTGGCCCAGACAGTAGTAGAAGAAAGAAGGGCCCAAATGGGAGAATGGTACTTAGGGATGAATAATGGGGCTGGCCAGAGCTTTGGGGTGTGTGTGTGTCTGTGTGTATATGTTATATATATATATATATATATATATGTGGTTTCGTTAGGTGTAAATTTGCAAATTGTTTCCTTTTTATATATATGAAAAATAAAGCTTCAGTGTCCCAGAGACTTTACATTGCCTTGTTCCTTTTTCTAATGGTAAAAATAAAACATTTGCCAATCCAGCAGTTGTTACATGTATGGTGACATTACCTTCCTCATGGTGAGCAGCCGTCACCACTATTCCAAATTATTCCATTAACAGAAACTGTGTCCCCTAAGCAATGACCTCACCTCTGCCACCTGCTTGGTAACCACAAATAAACTTTGGTCTCTGTGTATTTGCCCATTTCATGTAAGTGGGACCATACAATATTTATCTCCTTATGACTGAATCCATGTACCATGTTTTCAAGGTTCATCCATGTAGTATGTACCAGGACTTCATTTCTCTTTGTGGCTGAGTAACAGTCCACTGTATGTGTAGACCACAGTTCGTTTATCCATTCATCTGCTGAGGGACATTTCAGCTGTTTCCACCTTTTGGCTATTGTGACTATTGCTGCAATGAATTCTGACGTAAAGACTACTTTCAGTTCTTGTGGGTATAGACCTAGGATAGGGATTGCCGATACTGCTTTTTATTTATGGGTACCACAGGAACTTGATGGCCTCCAGAATTAGAATTGCATCAAAGGAAAAGAAAACTGCAATTGATAGCAGGGACCAGGAGTGACCTCTACTACTGAGCAAGTGATTCCAATTTGACACAGGGGACAAGTGCCCTGCTTTGAGCAGCAAAGCTGCCCTGCTCTAGGCAGCTTGCAGGCCCAGACCAACTGCTGGCAAAGAACAGTGCCCCTTTTCTGTGCTCTCCTTTTGTAGAAATTGCCCTTCTGGCAGCAAACGCACTTCCTGGGATGAAGAAATGGGCCTTGCCGCCTAATATATCAGTCCCACACACCTCCACAATGAGTGCACAGCAAGTCTGCTACAACAAAAGAAACTTTATTTAAAAATATTTTTTTTTTTTTTTAACAGACATAGGTGCTTGAAAAAGCTCTTAGTTAACTGTGTATGGAAATGAAAAATTAATAAATAACATTAGTTTAACAGACCTCTAAACATTAATAACATTGGCAAAACAAAATGGACTTAAATGAAAATGAATCTTAAAGCTCTGCTATTCTCTGTAAGAATATTTACCTTCTGTTTTTCTTTACAGGTGAGAATGATTAAATACTGCTAATAGATTTTTTTTTTTATATTAATGACACACTTTTAAAATAGTCCACAAAAAGCTCGTCTAAGTCTTTGTTTTTAACACTGATATACAAATCGGGGCTCCTCACCCTGGAGAAAGCACCACTGTTCTCTCCAGCCCCACCCATGCCAAGAATTTAAAAATCCTGAATATGGAGGACTTTAAAAAATAATTGTTTCTATTTCCCAATTCTTTATTAGCTAAAGGCAGGGAAGAAGTGAACAAAGGGTAAGAGAGAGAGAAGTAAAATGCCATTATACAGAAAAAATTTTATTTTTTTTTCCTGAAACATTTACTATGGCCACAATACTGAGGACAGGCATCAGGTCCGTATTCCTTGCTGCCTTTCCCTGGGGAAAACTAGACCCTGCAGAGGGCACTAGCTGTTTAATGCTTTTAAGTCTGAAGCCTTCAAATGAAAGGAAAGCCAAATGTGAAGGCAGGAACCTAGGCCAGTTCAAGACCTAGCAAAAGGTAGGGGGGAGGGGGGAATGAAAAACCCCCACCCCTATGAACTAAGTTCATCTTATAGTTTAATCATGAAGTTTGGGTCATTAAAATGATCAGGAGACTGGGAAACTTGGAATGGTACAGGGTATACCTGGTTATCAAAGGTCAGTCTGTCTCTGCCTGAGGCAAACCATTCAGTGTGATAACTAAGAGTCTGATTTGAACCAATCAGATGACCCCAGAGTACAAAGCTGTTTTCTTCCACCCAAGCATCAGGGCAGGGAGAGGAGACCACTGACAAACTGCACTGGGGACCAACTCTCCAGGCCCAGCAAGCTCTCCTTCCTCTCCCCTAGATTCTAGGGCCTAATGATACTCAAGGTAGAGGAGCTAAGACTCTGGTATTTCCATATTAAGTCCTAAAATGCAGCCTGAGATACAGTGCTGCCTTAGAAAGGCACAAAACGTTTGGCTTTTTTTTTTTTTTTCCCTCAGTGTGCTAAAAATTGTTTTGTTTTGAATAAAGGAAAAAGATATATAAGGTTAAAAATCCCAAGTCACCACAGTCAGAAAGCAGATGGAGGAGGTCCCTCAGAGCTGCCATGGCCCTGCTGGGTTTCAGCAGGTCAGGCTTCTCCTCCAAGGCTGAGCCACTAAAACATGAGCACAAGGGCGGGTCAGGAGGCATCGCGCCTGCAAGCTTGGTTACCCAGACAGCAGAAGAAAGGGGTGCTGAGAGAAAACACTTATTTTCTGCCTCTTTAGTTTCAAGACCACCGTAAGCATGGCTACCACCCATAGCAGGGTCAGAAGGAGGGAACTGACACACAGGGTATGAGAACACGTATGTGGGAGCACCAGACTTGGGTACACAGTACCCCCACTTGGACCTGAGCATGGAGTTGGCACAAAGCCTGAAGAGTTGCACAGAGTCTGTCTTGAGTAATGCTCCTCTCTGGCCTTCCAATCTGGTTCAGGGGTGGAAGGAGAATTTATGAGAGGCAAAGCAGAGCTCTACTGAGCCATACAGCTGCCAAATCAGTAGAAGATCTGAGGTTGGCTTTCAACCTTTGCTCTGTACAATTATAGGGAGTGGTCAGCCACATTTTTCTCAAGTACTATACAAGGGGAGGGGCAGTGAGACCGCCAAACAGCTGTAAGTCAGCAGCTGGCCCTTCAGCACGGTGCACTCCATCTGACTAGGAATGAGCTTCTCCATGCAGGGCGTGCTCTCCCCACCCTTATTTCCCCATCGCTTACTCCTGTGCTACTTTCTGATGACAAGAAACTCTGGACTTCCCCTTGAAATCAACCCAGATTTCCCAAGACACTGTGAAGGCACATGGCACTGGTATCCTCTGGCTCCTTCATTTTGGAACCTAAACTAGAATATCAAATGCGAAGACTGAAGACTCACCCTTTCCCATGTGCCTCAATGGACATCTTTGGATTATTAGGTTACACCTATGTATATCAAATGACTCTAATAGTGAAAAAGTATAAATAATTAGGAAATCCCTTGCTAACTCACGACAGGATCTAGGATGAGATAAATAAGATCAAAAGACTCCGGTAAGCAGAAGCAGGGTTTAAAAAAAAGAAAAAAGATAAAGGCTTTAATATAGGACTAAAAAAACAATTGGACAGGGAAAATACAGGTATTCTGTCTAAAGAATTCTCTGTAAAAACTCTATTCTAAACTGGAATCTCTATCTAATGTATAACCTGTCCCAACTAGTATATATTCTTAGTGCGATGTAGTTTCTGAGGTACCAAGGAAGGCCTGCCTAAGAATATTCTTGCACAGCTCACATCACACAGGGAGGGAGGAGGGAAGGGAATGTCTATGATGCCCATAGAGTAAATACATTTTCAGTGCTAAGGCCTGAAGATGGCCCAGAAGTCCATGGGTAGAGGCTATAGTGGAATTTGTGATCTGCTTTCCAAATAATATGAAAGGCTAAACACCTGAGATTGAATGAAGGCTAAGAAATGACACCCCAGAGCAGACCACCCTGGAAGAGGAGAAGGTCCTAAAGAGGGAAGTAAGAAATCTTTGATGTTAGGACTGATCAAGGAAAGAAAAGGAAATTCAATAGTAATAAAGATAGTGACCAGAAGTTAAACCTAAGAATTTCTTTGATGTCCCAGACACACTCCATGCCTACCTTTCCACTCTCAAAACAGTAGTGCAACAGCATGTTTACGATATTTTTAGGGTGTCTATTCTATACACTCTTGAGAACATCCCTCCTCCAAGGAGCATGTGCTGTTGTCCAACAGTGTCCTTGATCCTCCTCCACATGGCTGACTGCTCG